CAAGAAACAAAGCAAGCAGAAGAACAAAAGACGCTGACGGAAAAAAAAATAGTGGCAAAACGGACGGCGCGGACAGGATGGATGGGGTCGATGGACTCGTCGCCGGAAATGGTACCGCGACGCCGAGCTGGTCGAGATTGATGAGCCATCTGCGCCACCGACGGAACGCATAACGACCCCTACGCAAGCTTCGGCCAGTGCTTCGGAGCCCAACCTTACGACCGAACGGTACAGCACCCTCTCTGAGAAGATGGTCGCACCGACGCAGTCCACCCCCAACCTAGCCATCGCGAGCCCGGAAGCAGGAGGAGGAGCAGCATCCACAGACGAAGGAAGCACCTCGGCGACCGGGAGAAAGGGATACATCGAGGGACACCATCCGGCACCGTCAACTTCGGCTCCTTCGACGTCGTCGAGCGGGGCCATGTCGTTTTTCCGGATGCGCAGGGGGACGAACCAGAGTGTAGCCACGACGGCGTCGTCATCCATTGCCGTGCTTGCCGAGGGCGCAGACGAGAAGGGAATCGGCAAGGGAAAGGGAAAGGCGAGAGAGAAGGAGAAGGAGAAGGAGAAGGGAAAGGGAAAGGGAACGGGCAAGGGGAGGGATCGGAGCGCGAGCGAGGCAGCGCTAAGTCGGGACGGGGAAGAGGAGGAGGATGAACTGGACGCGTTGGAGCTGCGAGTGAATCTGGAGCTGCAGGGTCAGGGGAATGGGGGACGCTGGGGGATAGGAGATGAGGCGAGAATGAGTTTAGAGTGAAAGTAGGGTATAGGGCAGTGTTGATATCCGTGTGAGAAGAACAGGTGGCAGTATTCATAGGCCCATTTTTGATGGGATAAAAGGAGATCCGTATTGTGTATCCGTGTAAGGGGTTGGATTCAGGGGTAAGTAAGTTGGGTGATACGGTGTGAACGAACAACTCCTGCCCTTTATTGTGAAATAGGAAGCCCAGACTTACGGCCACGGGTTTCGCAGGTAAGTCGTATCTCCTGATCTCCTGCTCTCCTCAGACAATGCCTTGAAGCCACGGCGGGTGCCTTTGGCGACGCGAGCCACACGACATGCGAAAATAACCCCGGTTTCCGTGGGGAATACGACGAGAGCGAACAATGCTAAGCCTCCTGATCCACCATCCGGTGAGATCTTACGTCTCAATCACTCTGTGAGTAGTAGGCGGCAGAGATGTTGATGTCTACAGAGTATAAATACAGATGCCTGGTCTCATGGTATTTCACATCTCTCCCGCTCTGGACATGGTGTGTCGGACAGTCGGACAGTCGGACAGTCGTCGGTTTTTGTCCCAGCTCTTTCTGCTCTGCTGCTGTTATAAATTATAATCCCTGGACGTACGAGTGCGATTCTCTGCCTATTACTTCCTGATATATCGCCATGCTTCCACCCAAATTCCTCCTAATTGTCCCCCCTCTTCCCCTCCTATCTCCCAGGCAGCCTATCTACTGACTGCAAATGCGTACGTAAATCTGTAGTCCGCAGTCTGTCTGCACCCCTCCCCCTCGAGTTCCGAGCAGGGTTAACGTAGACCAGGGCCCTGAAGACGAATGCTGGCCCAGCAGAGACGAGTGGAAAGAGTTCAATAACACGGTAAACGGCCGTCTCATCCGACCCCAACCTCCCGCCTCTGTCTGCTACCCAACGGAGCCCAATTACGACCCTGCTGCCTGCGAGAACATCATCTCTCAATGGGGCGAGGCAAATTTCCACTCGGGGGATCCATCCAGCATCGCCTACCCAAGCTGGGCCGGCCAGCCATGCCCTGTGCTCTCATCTTCCCTAATGGCACCAGTATCAGCGGTGATCCCAACGCCGGGGCCAAGGGATGCAGCTTGGGTAGATTTCCTAGCTACGTTACTAATGCTACCAGGCCAGAAGATATTATTGCTGCATTTTAATGGGCTGGGAAGAGGAATATCAGGCTTAATATTAATAACATGGACCTGGCCATTCGCCCAGTGGAAGTTGAGTCTCTTTTTCTTGGATGATCTATACTATACATTGGTGCACGACTCATTTTATTCCAAGCGTTTCCATGCTGACGCCCAGCCTCCATAGGAGCACTGCGTACGGGAGTATATCGTAAGTATTAGTGGGGAGGAAAGCGACGTATTGGCATATATGTGCTAACTTGCAGTTAATAGTAGCCTTGGACGCATAATGTCCGTAGCATTCAGTATCATGAAAATTTCAAATCTAAATGCTGTCTTTCATACAACACCTCGCCTCAAACGGCGGCAACTATCGCCGCTGGTAAGGTCTGCGGGACGTGTATAAAGCCCTGGACGAGCACGATGCCATTATTATCTGCGGTGCAGAGACGGTAATCATTCCATATTCCACCCGCACTGAAAGAATAACGCACGGTCTAAACTAAAAAAACCGCTTAGACAGTCGGCGTTATCGGCTGGGTCACGGGCGGCGGCCACGGCTTCCTGAGCTCCACCTACGGCATGGTCTAAACTAACAAAACCGCTTAGGTAGTCGGCAGCAGAGACTATGCTCTTCTTTGGCGTTTCATGCTTTTCAACCAGCCCGACGGGGCCGTGGAAGCGCTGTTTCCCCTCCTGAAGGAGAGGATGAACCAGTCAGCTGGTGCGGTCTTTATGATTCTCAGGTGTCCCACGCGGTATCGTTCCTGGAGGCTTATGATGCGCTTGAGGCCCTGCCTTAGCAGGTTGGGGGCGATGGTGGCCCCGTTATTGGCAGCCGACTTTTGACTACCCGCGCCCTGGAGAACACGGATGTCGTGGCGAGAATGTTCCGTGAAGCTGGACTCAGCATGAATCCTAACGCTGTGAGTTGTGCACCGAACCCCCGTTGAACTTCATCAAGGGAATCGCTAACCAGAGACGACTATGTTGTTGTTTAGACCTCGCGTACCACTGTTACGATCGGGTATATGATTGCCAGTTCGAACAATGCGGACCTTGAAACGGCCTTGAACCCGGCCTGGCGGGATTCGGTGTCACATTTCGTTCTCGTCTCCGGCTGGCCTGCCGGCGCCCCTGACGATGTCGTCCGCGCTGTCCGAGATGATACGACCTTCAACAAAACGCGGTATCTTCGGGATCTAGACCCGGATAGTGGAGCATACTTCAAAGAGGTGAGTAGCTAACCATGACTCTAATTCCTCTTTCTTTTCCCTCTCGGTTCCTCCTCTCGTCGCCTCCGGGCCTCCCTATCGATCAGACAATGCTCCAAGTTTTTTGGAGTAGCCAAGTAAAGAAATAGACTGACGAAATATTACAATCGCCAATAAATGGACGCTTTTGAGCAAGACTGGCAATTCTCCGCCTTTGGCGGGAATTATCCCCGGCTGAGGGCCATCAAGGAGGAGTATGACCCGGACGACGTACTCTGGTGCCATAACTGCGTTGGCAGCGAACCCTGGCTGGAGGACGAGGACGGCAGACTCTGTCGTCAGGACTGGTGGGAAGAGGCACGGGTGCACGAGAACGATTTGTGATAAACAAGATAATGCGGCTTGTCTAGTCTCGGCCCGGCCCGGCCTTAAAAATTCCGGGAGTCTCTAGAGCCGGACTGCCGGAGCGGGTATGAGTGGAGAAGAGACCCACCTCCTCGACTCCTTCCGATGATTCGCCCGACGATGGCACCGGGAATGATCTTGGAGCTGTATTTGTAGTCTGTACGGTAATCCGGAAGCGTGAATCTAGCATTCACTCTTTGTGGCAACTGAACAATTTCAAGATATGCGCATACCATTCACCAGTCTGGGTCCCTGGGATCACTTGGAAAAGCTGCCATGGGGAATCACATAGCAAGCTGGGGAAAATGATAATATATGTGTGTATATATATATATACACGGAACCGGGCAAGTATCTGATTTCATGCCTTTCGCAGCAAAGCGTTCATAGCAAGCGAACAGACGTTATTCTGTGGGAGAAGGAACAAAACTAGAATCGTCTCGATCATCTCTGGACTTCATGATCAAGGGATGTGGTGCTGAGTGCCCAAGTAGCCACATTCTTTTGCCGGCCTGTTCGATCTCGAGGCACTAAAGGTTCTGCTGCCTCCTCGACTTACAACCATCTGCCCTCCTCGCTCGCCTGAGAACAAGGTCGGCAGCCTTTCACTGAATTAGCGACATCCAACCCGAGTAGCACCAGACACACCTTGCGTCAAGGGAAACTCACCTTCTCGCCAATGGCATAAGCAGTAGAGCTGGTATGAGTGCTGGGAACAAGAGGCATGATAGAGTTATCAGCCACGCTGAGCTTCCTCGTCCCATACACCCTGAGATCGGGGCCCACCACACCACCCAGCTCCCGGGGCGCCAGCGACGCGGTCCCGACAGGATGTCCCGTGCTAGGGCTAATCCTGCTCGCGATCCACGCCTTGAGGTCCTCATCGCTCGTGATATGCGCGCCGGGGCTCGTCTCTACGGGGCCAAACGTCTCGACCATGGCGTCGGCGCTCATGAACTGGCGCGTGCCCCTGAGGAGTTCGACCACGAGGTCCAGGTCCAAGGGGTTGGAGAAGGCCCGGTAGTCAACCAGGGGCTCGACGTTGCCGCGTCCCGAAGGGTCGACCCCGTCGTCGTCCGGGGATAGGTGGATGGTTCCGCGGCTGATGGACTTGCAGAGTACGATGCTGAAGCTGGAGCCGCCCGAAAAGGGCACCTCGAGGAGCGTGGAGCCTTCGGAGCGGAATTGGCGGGCTAGCGTCTTCTTTTGCTCGACGTAGCCTGCTATGACTGTTTCGTCGACGCCCTCGTGGAGGTACTCTGCCGGGTCCTGGGCGAGGAGCTTCCCGACGATTTCTTCTGTTCGGTTGGTAAAATGGGGGAGGGGCAGGAAGACGGCGCTGTTGACGAAGGTCGTATAAGGGCCTGCGAGCGTGTGAGTAAGAGGAACTGTCCCACACCGGAGATTGTCTGGCGGGATGAGCGTAAAGGGCATGTAGAGTTACCCACCGGTCTTGTTCGTTTCCCAGAGATCTAGGGCCTGAGCTGCGTACTCGGGATCCCTGCTTAAAGTGGTGCTGTTCGGACTGAACGACTTGCTGACTGTCGAGACGATGTGAGTCGGGTCACCTTCCCACTAGTTTGATAAGAAGAGGACTAGACATTACTGACAACTGTACGAGATGGCAAAATTCATGTGGTCCTGGAAGTTCTCGCCGACGCCCGGAAGCTCCACCTTGACCTCTGCCCCCGCGGCCTCAAGGACCTGTCTAGGGCCGATACCACTCCTCTGCAGCACTTGAGGCGTGTGGGCAGCCCCGGCAGCGATGATGACCTCGCGCTTGGCGCGAACCTCCCAGGCGCTTTCGGGCATGTCGCCGTCCCGAGGCGTGTATCTCATACCGTCGGCGCTCCAGTTGTCCGAGTCGGGGGTCGGGGCAGGGGAGAGGATGAGCTGTGTGACACGGTGGCCGGTCAGGAGGTGAAAGTTGTCGCGACTAGCTGGACCATCCTCTTGTGTGTAGTGGCCGGGCCTGGAGAAGGACCTCCGCTCGGTGGCAGGGTCGCGCGAATTTGGGGCCCAGATGACGCCGGTTTGGTCGCCAGCTGCTCCCTCTTTGGGGAACCTGAAGCCGGGAATTCTCTTGAAGGCGTTCCACATGGCGACTTGACAAGAGGCCAGCGTTAGAACATGCCATGCTCGACGTGCTTGTCCACAGTAGATGGGCTCATTCTTTTGCTGTAGGTAACATGAAGCCAGCAAGCTAGAAAAGGGGCACTCACCAGTGGCAGGCCAGTGGAAAGGGCGGTAGCTGGAGTGGATGGGCGTCGTCCCACCGTACGCCGCCTCAACATCGTACGTGATATTGTACTCTCGAACCATCTCCTCGGTCGGCGGAGTGAAGGTGACGCTCTTCTTGAAGTAGGGGAGGATGTTATCCCACCCCCACTCCTCCGCGAAGGCTTCCTCGTGTTCTTCACCGGCGGCCCAGACCCACGAATCGTAGTCCTCGGCCGAACCCCTCATGAAGAACATACCGTTTACGGCGGAGCTGCCACCGACGACGGCACCGGCCATGAGAGGCGGAGTAGAGTAGCCGAGTCCGGGCTGCGGGACTGCCGTGAGGTTGTAGAAGCGCGTGGCACGGGGAAACTCATCGCTGGGACCGGAGTCTATATCAGGACGTACAGTAGCTTCTATGGAGTGGGACATGTCCAGATAGCCGTATTCAATAACGAGAACGGTATCTGTTGAACAGGATTAACGGGCATTAAGCGAGAGGTGCGTTATAGGTAGTGAGGAGTGAGGTGAGGTACTAACAGTCGCCGCTTTCGCTCAACCTGTCTGCCACTGTGAGCCCGGCAGTCCCAGCCCCAACCACGATGAAGTCGTATTCGTCGAGAATGTCGTCCCGTCTCGTGATGACTGTGGCCTCCCGCGCATGGGCGGGTAGTGCGGCTACATGGCTGACGAGGATGCTCAGTAGAGCAGGCGCAGCACAAATAAGTCGACGCATGGTGAATGATGGAGAACTCAACTTGGGAAACTCCTCTCCGGGTCTGACTTCTGAGATGTGACGGCCACGGGAGGAGGGCAATTTTCGGGGCCTCCCACCCGACCCTGGGGCTTGCTGTTTTATATTCTTTTTTGTGTAATACAAAGCCGGTCAGATGGGAAGATGCTCATACGTCTTTTAGGCATAGATTGGCGCCGTACATGCAGCTCACTACCTATATTACATTGGTTTCCTCGTTGAGACATGGCACTGATCTAGACCTCATATTGAGGCCGAAGTTACGCTGACAGGAACACATGGGTGCCCCATCAGCATGCACTCCATGCGGGGGAAACGCAGACAGGATACGAGAGATGGACGCCTCCGCTCTTTTTACATCCATGATCACGACGGTACTGCATGTATGCATCAGGTAGTTACCTGTCCCTGAGAGCGGCAAGATCCTCTTTCCAGGCTCTCTTGGCACCACTCGAAGAAGGGCCGGCGAATTTTAGGGAAATTACCTACACTTCCGATATGCAGCATCCGCGGTCTATAATGCAGGACGTAATCCCAAACTTGGGCCCGGTGGAGAGTCTTCCGGCGGAGCGAGTGGTAATACAGGCCATTGGCCAGTGAAACGTGGAGGAGGAGACGAGAATGTTGCATCCGCGGCTTACAGGCTATATTCGTCCGGCAGTTGGATGATGGATCACGGATGTCAAAGCTGAGTACAATTGGAGTCCAGAAGGTCTCGAGAAGCCAGGGGATAGCAACGACTTTCTTCGTTTTTATACGGTTAAGAAACTTGGTCAGAACTCTTCTCGCATTTCCCCGCCCCGAACCATGAAACAGTTTGTCTTGGGACGAACCGGAGTATTATTTGATTAACCCTAGTTTATGTGCTCTCCCCGCTTTACCAACACTTTGTGGCCCTGCGAGTTTAAGGTAAAAAAGAAGAAAAGGAGAAGAAGAAAAGAAGAAGAAAAGAAGAAGAAAAGAAGAAAAGAAGAAAAGAAGAAGAAAAAAAGAAAGAAGAAAGAAAGAAAGAAAAAGGGGAAAAGGGGAAAAGGGGAAAAGGGGAAAAGGGGAAAAGGGGGAAATAAAAGATGCATTATTTTATTCAATATACCGGGCGGAGAGTCAAGGGCCATATTTTCGTATTACAAGAGCACCTCTAACTCTCTGTTTGACAAAGGCCGTAACGTATATCCCAGCCTGTCGTCGGGGAGTGTGACGCGGACATCCGGTGCCGGTGTGGGGCCAGCGCCGCCCCGGAAACGGAGGATCAGCCCGAGCACCTCTACGGAGTACTCCGTATGGCATAGGAACAAAAGCCTCTCGAATTTCTGTGCTCCTTAGAGCCCGTCATTTTCTGCAAATGGCAACAATGGCCTTCATCCGAATCCCCACACCCTCCGTACTATCTGGCCGCTGAAAGCTTTCTGTCCACCGCGTAGATGGGCGGCTTTCCTGCCTTGATGGACGGGTGGTTGAGGAGGACGTCGGTGACGATTCCTGTACAGCAGGCATTGTCTAGGATGGTGGAGGTGGCAGTGATTGCGTGGCGGTCCTGGACGAGGGCGATGACTTTCTGGGCCAGTTCTCGGGTGGAATCGCCGGCCATGGACTCGTATGTTTCGGCGATGTTGTTGAAATGTTCGAGAGCATTGTTTGTGGTGAAGGACCTTTTTTTATTTCTTCCTACGTGCAATCAGGGGAAGAGGCGGCGGCTTTGAAGAATGGATTTCCTTGAAGGTTTGAAGTAATAAGGGGGAACGGGGAGGTTGGAACAACTATATATAGGTAGGCAAGCAAGCGTCATAAAGCCCAGGCTTCCCAGCGGTTTGTCTAGTCGCATAGCCCTAGCAGTCACCGGTCTATATGCAGGGCACCGAACTAGACGCCCCGGGCAGTTATCGGACAAGTAATCGGAGACATAATTCGTTACTCTAACCAGGGGGTGCCGCCGCAACCTACGAGTATTCCATACACGGTACGACGACGTCTTCTATTTCACACATGCAGGCAACAACAAAAGTGGCAGAGAGTCGGTTTTATATTGTCTGGTCGCTATAGTATACACTTATTGACGAACAATGCTGCCCCTAGTTCTTCAGAGCACGCTTCCTCTTGCTGGGGTTAGGGCAGTTGAGGTCGGTGTCGAGGATGGCAATGCTGAGCTCGGGCATGTCAAACTCGAAGGCGCCCTCCTCGTTGGCGGTGAGGACGAAAGTGGTGCGCTCGACGGCGTTGTTGCCCAGGTGGGGGTCGTTGTACGCATAGGGGTCCTTGTCCTCTTCGGCGTTGGTCAGCATGGTCAGGAGCGCCTTGGTGCCCTCCTCGACGCCCTCGAACGAGAGGGAGACGGGGATCGGGGCCGAGTCGGTGGTGTTGTAGGCGGCGCCCTTCCAGATGAACGAGCCCTTGTCCTCGTTCTTGCCGGCGACGTAGTACAGCGGCCCGATGTCGCCCTCGGCGGGGAGGGTGTGGGTCATGATGTGGGCGGCGATGAGCTCCCAGAGGTACCAGCTGGTGGAGCGGGTGGTCATGGCCGGGTCGGCGGCGTGCTGGACCATGGTCATGGCCCACTGCCAGCGGTTCATGTTGCGGAGGATCGGGGCGTAGAAGGTGGCGGGGATGCGGTCGGCGTTGCGCTCGTAGCCGATCATGGAGATGGCCTCGCCGACGGTGCCGATCCACCAGGGGAACGTGAAGAGCTCGCCGTCCCAGCCGATGCCGCCGTTGGGGTGCGTGGCCGCAACCTCGCCGATGATGTGGGCGACGTCGTTGTCGAACTTGTCGAACTCTTCGACCAGCTCGTCGGGCGTGCGGTACGGGTGGTAGTCGCCGAGGACGCCCTCGGGGATCTCGAGGCCCTCGTGGGTCGAGCCGGAGGCGATCACCTGGAGCTGCGGGTAGGCCTCGTTGACGGCGGCCTGGAACATGGGCAGGCGGTAATCCATGTACGACTGCCAGCCGGCTTCGCCGCCGGCCAGCCAGTCCTCGTTGCCGATCTCGACGTACAGCAGGCGGAAGGGCTCGGGGTGGCCCAGAGAGGCGCGGACGGAACCCCATTCGGAGTCGGGGGGCCCGATGATGAACTCGATCTGGTCCAGGGCGTCGTCGATGAAGGGCTGCAGCTTCTCAGGGGGGGTGATGTCGCCGTTGAGGGCCAGACCGGCAAAGACGCCGACGACAATCTCGAGATCAAAGTCCTCGGCCCACTGGAGGTACTCCAGGAGACCAAGGCCGTGAGTCTGCTGGTAACCCCAGACTCCCTGGAAACCGGGACGGTAACGCAGGGGGCCAAGAGTGTCCTTCCAGTCCCACCAGGTCCGGTTGTCAAGACCCTCGAGCATGTTGCCACCGGGGAGACGGATGATAGTCTATCATCGCAGTTGCACAGTTTAGCTTTTGTTTTTCCAGTGTATATATATTCATTCATGATGTGGTTTTCAATGTTCAAGTTGAGTTTATTTCTGGAGCAAGACAGCACGTGAGGTGGTCTCTTACCGGGTGAAGGTCAGCAAGGACCTGAGCAAGGTCGACACGGAGACCGTTCTTGCGGTCCTTGTAGGTAGGGGGGAACAGGCTGATCAGGTTAAAGTCGAGGGATCCATCGGCAGTGCCCTCGGGGTCGAAGGTGATAGCGAAGGTGTTGTTGCTGTTGGGGGCATCCGTCTCGGGGATGAGCTCGAACTCGTGCTCGACCCAGTCGTCAGCGACAGACTGCGACACGATCTCGACGGAGCCGAAGACCTCGTCGGTCAGGGCCGACTGGAGGGAGGCAGTGAAGTTGCCCTCGTAGGAACCGTGGACCCAGAACGAGCCGGTGTACTTCTGCACCTTCACGTCCATGCCCCAGTAGCCGTCGTTGGCCATGCCGACGGGACCGGAGTCGCATGTGTCGGCGGCGACATTGACGGAGACGGGGAGGGCGTCGGACAGGGGAAGCTCCAGGCGGTTAAGCTTGAGCTCGGCGCCGTTGACGGAGTGCCAGCCGTCGAGGGAGACGGGGTAGGCCTCACTGTACTGGAAGGCGCGGTTGCGGATCAGTTCGGCGTAGATGCCGCCGTCGCCGGAGTTGTTGATGTCCTAGTCAGCGTTCGCATGTCAGTCTTACAAGGCTTTCCTCGTCGTATCGTCTCACCCATTGAAGGTGAGAGAGAAAGTGGGAATAGAGCACGAAAGAACGATGAGATAAAAAGAAGAAGAAAAAAATATGAAAAAGACTGGAACAATTGGAGGGCATTCTCACCTCATGGAGGAAACCATACTGGTGGCCGCTGGTAGCGTTACCGCCAGACGACGAGACCTTGATATCCCAGGCTGCGGCAGACGAGACAGCAAGAGCTGCAGCCGCGAGGGCCGACTTGAGGAACGGCATGGTTGCTCTTCTCAACAACTGTTTTCTAGAGCGTCACTCGGATTGAAATGCCGCGTGCGTCTTAGAGAGAGGCAGAGGCCGAGGGGGGCGAAGGGCAGCATTCCCCGCGGACGGGGGTTTATATAAGGGGGGGTGGATGATGGATCATGGCTTGGGGCATTGGCAAATGGCCATTGAATCTCGGCTAATCGTTCCGGGTCCTTGCTTTCGGTCTCCTTTTCCATTGTTGCTGTAGCTGTTGCTGCTGTTGCTGTTGCTGGAGCTGGAGCTGGAGCTGGAGCTGGGGCTGGGGCTGGGGCTGGAGCTGGTGCTGGAGCTGGTGCTGGTGCTGCCGCGTCTGCTGCCGCCTCCGCCAGTTATGACAGCATGAATCGATCGACGATGGGTGGGGAGAGCTGGAGGGAAGCTTGGGTGCAGACAACACGACAAGACACGACACGACATGGCCAGGGGTCCCATCGAGTCGGGCCCTAGTACCGGGACCGGGGACTGGATGGGGTCATGCTCTGGAGCCGCATGGTCCATGGAGCCGTACGGAGCCGTATGGAGTAGAGTAGAGGCTGAATGGCAAAGCTGATTAGAGGACCACGGGTGACGAAGAAAACCCAGACGGATAAATGACCAACAAAAGCCGTCGGGTATCGGGTCCTCGGGCTAGATCATGCATAACTCCCCCATGGGAAAGCGAAATGACCTGGGACAAGAAACGGGCCTGGGGCATGGGACAACGTACAACGTACTTGTGCTTCCTACAACGTCCTCACCTCACGGTTCATCACCGACCAGTTGACGAACCGTGTGCAGCGCAGGTGCCGCAGTGAGCCTCAAGTCCATGTCAACTGCCGATAGTGCCCCCCGGCCTCCCAAGCGCCACGCTAGGCCGTGTGTTCTTATACCCCTGACGCCTCATCCCCTTGTGTCCAATGTGTGTTCGCCTGTGGAGACCTTTCGGCTCAGTCGCATAGCCTTGGCAGGACCACTGGACGGAGGCTAAACGAATTGGTTCCGAAGAAACAAAGTTGAGCTTCCGAAGCAGCAATGGCGGGTGAATGAGATGCCGATGCCCTTGCTTGTCCTGCAGAGGCTGTCTCTGTGATTCTGTCCTGATTCTGTTCCTCGAAGACATCTCAAAAGAAAAGCATGTCTTGATTTACGAAAGCAGACAGCTTTCCCCAGGCAAACCCGCAAAACCCACACGCCGAGTCCAACCTCTGGACGATCAGGGGAACTTGGAAGCAATATAAATTTACAATTTACCCACAGCACGACGCATGGATTGTTTGTTTCTTACCCAAACCCTCTTCGATCTCCCCTCAATGTTTCCCCAGACCAAACCAAAGTTCATGTTCCCTCCTTTGTGCCAGGATTGATTCCTCGATGCCGGTTCGGTTCGGACGTGGCCCCCGCTGCCCGGATAATGAAGGATCGGCGCGTTCCTATTTGAGCGCTTCCCGGGGCATTAACTATCCCAGCAGATTATGCACCGTATCTGCTCTAGACTCTGTATTATTCGGAAGGCTTTCTATCCGTGTAAGTGCAAGGGGCATGTGTAAATGTTCACTGCGTTAGGGCTTAGGATAAAAGCGCCGTGCATCCTTCATTACACTTGACCGCTTCCATGCCGTTTCTACACGTATTCTACCTTCAGCAGCTAGAGCCCTTCCTCGAAAGATTACTGGTTCGCTTCCCACAACTTGGAATAGCCTATGTGATGGTGATGCCTACGAATCAATCAAAATTATCAAATTGCTCAACTCCCATGCAGGTACGTGTACATACGGATACTGCTTCCTACAGTTGACCAGGTTTCCGGGTAAAATCAGCGAGAACGCCACATGGCTGATACAGAGCTATGTTATAGTTACCTCTACTTATAGAAACAGATCGGGCGAATCTGGGTATGTACTATGTAATGGCCAGCAACGAAGGAAATTAGACTCTTGGTCAAAGGCTTCCAAGCGAGTCTCATCAAGCGAACTTCATTCTTTACACTGTCCGTCTTGTGTTTCTATGGGAAGAGGGGCGGGTATTCAGTCTTCGCTTTCTTAGCACGCTCTTGGCCGCCTTGGGCGATTGCCTGCAGACTGTGGGACGACACGATCGAACCGCGTCAGCGCCAAGTGGGAAACCCCCTCCCCGGGCCATGATCCCTAGCAAGCACAGCGTTTCTCGACTTTCCCCCACCTCATAGGGATGGACCATGACGTCGGTAGGACAAGAGTTCACAACTTCACGCAGAAGGCCGGTCGAATGAATTGGCTTGGTCACTGGGGTAGTCGAGAAGGACTGCAAAAGCGACAGTGAAGACGAAGTATCCGAAGCAGACGACCGTTGGCATTGGCGTTGCTATTGAGCTCGTCTCATTTCCACCGGCTCTGCCTGCAGCGGTCCTTGATTTCGGCTGCCTTCGCGGGCATCTCACCAACCAGCCGACGGAAACCGCACGCCAGTCCGGTCCTCGGATCCCTCCTCGTGCCATCCCCGACGACGATGCCGCCCTGCCTGACACCCAGCCTCCGAAACTCCTCCACGATGGCCCGGTAGTCCCCGAAGAACCGGTGCGCCCGAACGTCGTCGTCCCGCCCCGCCACGATGCCGTGTCCTAGCGTCGCGGCCCAGACCCCTCCTCCCCCTCCTCCCACCAGCATCGCGTGGGCCGCCGGGTCCCGGTCCTCCTCCAGCAACACCGAATAGATGCAGCCCGTGTACCGCACCGCCGATTCCGCCACCTGCGCGGGGAAGGCCCAGCCGGACGGCGGCAACTTTCCCCACGCCAACATCCTGCTGCTGCTGTTCCCGCTCGTGCTGCCATGGCCCCTGCCGCTGTGCCGCCGCAAGGATGGCGGGCTCACGGGATGCCACGGTGTTATTACCACGCCGTGCACGCGGCACATAACCTCGCGCCTGACGGGCGTGATCAACACGGCTGCCACGCGACGGGGTCCTCGCGGAGTCAGGACAACGGCTCCGCGTCGCAGCCAACGCACCGGAACATGCCGGCCGGAGGCGAGCAGCACGGGGCTTGACCCAGCGAAGCAGGCGTTCGACGCGTGTTGCAAGGGTCTCGCGGTGGGGGTGAATGTGAATGTGAATGGGCTGCCGAGCGATTCTTCGATGGTTACCCAAGGCTTGTGCTCTTTGACCAAGATGTCCTTGCCAGAGGAGAGCGGGTGCAAGGTGACGGCGGCATTTTGTCGGGCCTTCCCTGTGGGTTCAAGTTCTGGGTCTGTCGCGGGAGAAGAGTCGTCGCTGCTGGGGGTGGTTGTCGTGGGAACATGAAATCGACCTTCAGCATCGGACCCGTCTGCGACACCGAACCTAACGGCCCCACAGTCCAGACAGCGCGAGAACATCTCCCTCCGTAGACCGTGTGTATGCCCAAGTTCCCCGGTCGATTGCTGCGCTTGAAACGAGGTAAGACGCGTGATTGGGCTTCTTCTTTTGATAAGCTGATATTAAGAAAAGACAAGATGATTTGGAGCTCTGGACACGATAAGTACGACGGAGAGAGAGGTTAGGCGAGATGAGAGAATATAAGATATAAGATGTGACAAGTCTGACACGCTCTTGTGATCTCGAGGCCAACGCCACGCCAACGCCAGGCAGGAGCAAGAGGTAGGGGTAGGTGCCTAGGAGGTAACCTGGAGTCACCGGGAACCCATGAATCCGATCGATGTCATTCACGGGATGAACAGGGCAGAGAGATTACCTACCATGGCCATTGTTAGCGACGTGGTTGTTTTGTGGCTTTTCATATCGCCGAAGGAAGCGAAGGTGAAGGATGTCGTGCAGGGCCGCCTCAGAGGAAGCCTGATGGAAGACACCGAGACATCCGAGCCACGCGCCAAGCCAAGGGATCAGGTGGCAGGCTGCCATGCACCATCCCGCAACAGGGCAAACACGAGGAAGGTGAGGACTTTGTTGTCCTGTCGGTGGGGGGCGGGATGATGGGGGAGCAAAGATAGAAGAGACAATTCACGGGAGGAATCGTGAGGCCAAGTGGAATCCGAGCTCACATGCAGCGAGAGTTGTGTGTGATCATGCGCATGCGAGGCCACCGAGAAAGCACGGACGCGTTGTGGCTATGGGGGGCGCAGTGCTGTGTCGACAGGAAAGCAAAAGAAGCTATGCCTTGGCGCCGCGATCGCCCCGGATGTTTTAACATCGCTGTCTCCAGGTTGCCATGCTCGAGTTGCCCAAGACTCAAGAGCCTGACTGGTGCTTTGTATAAAAACGACCGAGACCGAACTGCGCGTAACCGAGTCAAACGGATGTCGAGGCAGCGTTGACAGAGGACGAGTTGGAGTATTGATATGCGTCTCGTAACCCGGTCGAAGGGGTTTTGTTAGGTGGTGGATAGATGGATGGACGGATGGACGGATGGGTGGATGGTTCACTCATTCACGATGGGAGATCGATAGGAGATAGGAGGATACGGAATACAATGTACGAGGTATTCGTAGGAGGAAATGAACAAGTACAACTTTAACATGAAAACCATTTGAAATAGGTGTTGATTTGATTGGAATGTACTTTGTGTCATCCGTCTGTGTTAGGTACCCACCTCGAATCAGTACCTTACCTTAGCTCAAACAGGCAGCAACGCACAGACCCTTTTGGGACCTTCGAGCTCTGACCACCTCGGTCGCCACACCTTGTTCCTGCCTAAAGGAAACAATCAGGGCTTGCGTTGGAGGTAATTACGGAAAATACAGGTAAGGATTATGTTTGCCTCAGGCTGAGATATTCACATGACTTCATTTGCCCCCTCAAATCTCTACATACGTGTACCCAGGTACCTCCTCACAGATCCAGTTCTCACCACCACAAAAATGGATCGCCAGAAATCATTTGGTCTGCAACCCTGGAAAATGACCAACAACGTCATCACGACCACTGCCGCGTCGGATGCCATAGTCGCATTTCCCCAGACCGACCTCGAGTTCTCCCGGCGATCCTTTCGTTCGAAAGGTGGATCCGTTCTACACTGGCTACCCTACCCTGCATCCTGCACCAGAACCGCTGCACCGAGCTGCTTCTAGTTAGTGGCCTCGACTTCTCAACCGCTACCAGTACTATAGTGTACACTAGGTAATTAGTAGCCTTAGACCAGTAAAGCGTTCGCCATCAACACCGAAGCAGCAGACCGCACCACCAACCAACCACCTTTGCGCAGCTCGGCAGCACAAGAGCCCCTTATAGCGTGGGGGGGGGGAGAATCAGCCGCCACAGTTTGTCCCGCCAATCCCGTCGTCGTTTGCGTCTTTTGTGATTTCACATCGAATCACTGCTCGATTCAACTTGACAGCCTTCATTTTTGAAGGCGCACGCCGCACACCGTGGCGCCAGTCCTCCAACCGGTTGCCGTCCCGGACAGCGGACAAACGAAAACCACAACCCCAAGCCACCCCCAGTCTCCACACCCACCCGCCCCGGTGTCTCTCCTGTCCTGTCCTGTCCTGTCCTGTCCTATGACTCCTGCCCTTTACCTACTCCGTCAAGGCGTAAAGGTTGCCCTCCAAAAGCTAGCGTGCATGCCCGCCGCATCTCGCATTACATCAATCCTAAGGGTAACAGATTTGTTTATCGTCCTCTGATATCCCTTTTCCTGACTCGGGCACCTTTTACCTACTTTCATACTCAGTAATTAACGGCCAGCTTCACAGCTTTGGGAGCGTTATCGTCGGATGTTTTAATTTCTTTCCATTGCTACGCTCTTATTCGTTCGTGCCCCCCCTGGTCGTCTTCGACTCGATGTTGTAGACCTTGTCCTTCACCTTGTTCTTGGCTCAAGGCCTGTTTTTCGCCTCCCGTCGCCCCTCCCATTCCGGCTTTTCCCTATATTGGACGCCTTGTCTTTGTAGCGCGGGGGATCATCCGGGGGTCAAAAGGCTGCTGAGAAGTTCAGCTAGGCTGGTCTGGTCCATTGGTATAAGAGGCTCGAGGGCGAGGGGAATATAACGACCTCGACTCTGCCTCTTTTTCTCTCTCTCTCTCTTTCTCCTTCCTTCCCCTTTTCCTCATCACAACACACGAACCACCATCTCAGTATCAAAAGGGAAATCTTCATTTCAATCACATACCTTCATCAGAATCATCAGAATCATCACGACTCGAAACCACTACACCACCACACCACCACACACCACACCACCACACACCACAACCTCAAAAACCATCTCCAACCGCCAAAATGCCTTGCCCCAGCTGCTGCAAGTGTGGAAGCATGATCGTCATCAGCACATCGTGCCCTTCCTGCGGCCATCACGAGTGCACCACTTGCTTGTAAACGACCTGGCGCATCATCGGCTCTCGACTCTCGGCTCTGGAACAACACGACCACCAGACCGATGCGCAACCTCGACTCCACCTTCACACAATCCCCAGGTCACACACTCGCGCCCGGGAAATGGACACAGCCTGCGGAGCCTACCATGGCCACCTTTTGTGCTCCAGCCTTCGCA